TCTTAACTATTAACTTTTACATTCTGTCTCATTATCAGCCAAATCATATGGAAATGGTGAGGAAGAAAACGTTGATGCTCCCCTTGATCTCCCATGGTGTGGGGTGTTGGTTGGACACTGTGGGGCAGGCAAGGCAGGCTCATTCTAAACCAGGCCTCAAGTGTGAATGAAAAGGCAGAAGCAGTTGGATGCTTTCAAAGGCAAATGCTCTTTCTTTTTAAAACCTTTCAGGTAATAGGGTCCTAAGTTTTTCACAACAGAGAGATAGCATGGCTGGAGGTTTATATGCCAGTGCACAGGTCATAGTAAGAGTTAATATGAATTAGAGAAGGAAACTTCTCATATTCATAAGGAATCTATTAATTTTGGTTGGAGCACTCTCTATACTTTCTTACTCTAACCCTCCAAACTCTATCCAAACTGGAGGCCTGTAGTGTTTAGACTGGGCCTATAGAGGCTATAGCTGAAACCTCTATATTTTAAAAGTAGAGGATTAAAACGTCTAGTACATGAGGTTGGTCTGGGGTATCAGATATCCTCCAGGAGTTCTGCATTCGGTTGAGCTGAACCCATTCGAATCATTAAATATCGTTCAGGGGCACGACAGGCTCCGTCCTCAGTCTCTGTGCGGCTGAAACAGTAGAAACTGCCTGTTGAAATGTAGGGGTCTAAATAAGACAGGCGCCAGAAGCGCGCATTACCGCTGCGCAGGGTAGTCAGTCCTGTGGTCAGATATTAACAAATGAACAGAGGCAGGAGGACGACTGAAATATCCCGGATGTAATTGTCCCACTCTAGTTATTTAATTGTCTCAAAATAGTGGACAATGACAGGCGGTACTATTGAAGACATGAGGTCCTGAAAATGCGCCCTGCAGCTTCAGCTAACAGCATAAACATTTTAGGATAATTGCATTATTATAAGTTTACAACAGTTGGTTGAATAGTTACTCTCTAATTACTCAGATATAAACTCAGAAGATTTTAGGCATAGGATTTTATAATTAGAAGAATGATCTGTTTTAGACAAATGTCCAGTGTTCTCCAAAAGGCACATGCCTTGATATTTGAGGTCATTCAGTGCTGTTGTAGCAATTAAGAATTTCACGTTCTCTCCTCATAAAGAAACAGGCTTGCTGACAGCTCACCCGGTTGAGGTCTCACCCCACTATGCAGTCTGCACTCCACAGACAACAGCCTAGCAAATCAATGTATAGACTATGGCTGTGTGATAATTGTTATCAATACGTTTGGCGCCAATTCGTGTTGTTAAAATATGATTTCAAATGGCTTCCCTCCTAACGGTCTCGGCAGGCGTGAAGCGTGTACAATCTTCTCCTCCCATCACCCTCGCCACTCTCCCAACAAGACTCTGGCTTTATCTGTCTGACTGACATCAGTAAAATAAAGAAAATTAAGGGTAAATCTAAACCCACTCCCATCCCTTCCCTACCACAATTCCCTTCCCTCTAAAATAAACAACAACAGCACACGTACACACACGCACACGCACACGCACACACACACACACACAAACTCTCACACACACACACACTTTGCATATTCAATAGAAATAGGAGGAAATATTTAAAGGTATTTTTCCCCCCAGGACAGTAGCCTAATGATTGTCAATCATGTATAATTATTTATCAAACACTTACCTAAATGAATAATCCCAATGTGAATTAACTTCAATAAAGCAATTTAGACCTAGATACCGCACTAAATTCAATATTTGGGAAAATTGAAGCCAAACAAATAAGTACCCCACACGTGCTTTTGGTAGGTAAGTTATAACATTTTGCTTCAATGAGTTTCAAGGCATTATCCGATCCCTTTATGTGTTTTGTGTTATTTATTTCTGACATAGGGCCTAATTCTGATGGGAGCAGTTTTTAATGTGTTTGTGCATCTCACCACAAAAATAACCCCAAGAATCAAATGCCTCTTGATTCAATAAACAAGTTTACCACAAATATTAGACATTTAAAACGGGGTTTTCCCCCTTTTTTTCTCATTTTTTTTCTTTTCCACAATTAATATGTAGGCTAATCTATAACGAATGTGATTGTAATCTTCATAATGATTTTCAGCGCCTTTACTTTTATCTGTTTACTAAATAACTGCTCTTTGATATATAGGTGGGCTATACAGTATGTCTTGTCTTTGTTTATTCAATAATTTATTGTGTGTTGGACAAAACGGCAAATATATTATTATTATATTTATTATTATTATTATTATTATTATTTTAATTTGTAAAGCGCTATTGTCACACCCAAGGCGTAATGTAATGTAATGTCTCCATACATCTGTGTAAAAAAATATCTAAATGATTTCCTAATCGAGGCATATAAGAGTAAAACAGTGCAAGGTACATTTATTCGTAAATTGTTAAGAACCTAAAAGGTGGCATTAAACGAATACAAATTGAGAGGTTTTTATTTCGCATTTTAAGCCTACTTCAATTCAGAAAATAATGGAATGGACGAGTAGAATTCCAGCACATGGGTCAATTTACTAAAAAAATCTTTAAGCTCGAAACAGGTAGGCCTAATAATTGTCGTGTAGGACCCACATTTTTTCGTTTTGGATCAAGCTAGTGTGTAGTATATATGTTGCTTTTTCAGATTTTCCGTGATGGTACAAATGCCGTTTCTCCCTCCATACCCCTTCTTTACTAAGTCAGGTCCATTTGACAAAGACAAATGCGCCAACTAGCGTCTGTGGGCCATCATTGCATGGGAACGAGTAAACGGGGTGTGCCGTTTCATGTGCAGTACACTGACTAACCTATTCAATGATGGAATTCCAATTAATAATTGCCTGTGGTTACTGTATTTGGGCACAATTGTAGTTGTTATGTAAGCCTATGGGGTAAATTGTTTGTACGCTTTAATTAGTTTTAATTTGGTGTGATCGAATCATGGTGATAACACAATTATATATAATTATAAATATTGACAAAGATGCACCTATGCATATTACGTAAACTTGATAGGCCTATATTATTAATGTATACGCATCCTTAGCCTAATGTATCCTATATCCTTGGATATAGGAACAAATAACATTTTAAAAATAAAATAACAACAACAAAAGTATATTGCTAAATATGTATTCCACATATTTTGTGAGTAGGTCTCTAACCCCAGCAGCACGACAGTTAATGTAATGTAGCCTAAGCCTATTAGGTCTACTTTCTATTACGTGGTGATACTAAACAATCAAAAATCATCCGGTAGATGCCTTTGGCTTTGATGTTCTCTGAAAACTCAAGGGTGAATTGCATAAAGAACAATAATGAGGAAATCATAATAAATTCACAACTCATATTGATAAATTAACCATAGCTATGTCATTCGAAAGGTGCATGAACTCCTAAAATGATCAATAGCTCATTACAGTTGATTGACAATTCTGCATTCAGAAGTAGCCTTTTGTTTTTAGTAAAAACACATAGGATAAGGGTATAGGCCCATAATAAGATCATATAGCTACATTATATAATTGGCCTACTTACTCTAAAGACGTTGGTCTCTTCTGAGTTCACCAAATAAATGTGCTGCTTGAATAATAGTTTTCTTTTCACTCGGTATGTAAACGCACTGCGGTGATGTGCTAATATAGGCAGAATGCATTGTGATTCTATTTCTTCGAAAAGTGGTTGCCTATATGAAGTTTGCTGATGTCATATAAAGAAGGAAAGGGGATCCGTCATAACACAGAATATATATTTTTTAAATCTTCAATTAACAAATAACTTTTGTTTTGAATTATAACTGGTTCACCATTCAGCTGAGAACAGTCGCTATAATTTTAAGTATAAATATAGGCTAACTGTGCAAAACATTACAACAACTAAGCACATCGTGTAGAAAAGCACAAATACATAGTCTATTATTAATAATGTATCGTGTGTGAATGGCAGAATAAGCAGAGAGCGATTTCACTTCGCCTATATTTCGGAGACTTTGATTGGTCTAATGAAAGCCCAACCCAGGCGACTCATTGGTGGAAGTCATCGCCACACTCCATCCACTAAACACTAAAATTACTTGAGTAAATAATATCACAGCACTCTTCACTCTCGCTCCACCACTTACTCAAGCGCGTCTTTGTTACCTTCAGCTGCGTTTACTACAGCAAAAGGACAGATATTCAAGATTATTTCAACGTGGAGACAGAATAGTTTCATGAAAATAGTTTTTGGATCTCGACTTACTTTTTAGTTTAATTAAGGATAACCAGTGGCAAGTGGCAGGACATTTGATACGGATGAACAAAAATCATTGAATATAAAGAAACTTCACGTGAAACCATCGGACTTCTGCGTCTCGAACTCCGCGTCTCGAACTGTGAATTGCTGAGTAGCCTCCATATTCTGCTATAGCTAGCCTACTTTGTTGAGTAGACAACATCTTCAGTGTGAGCCGCGGAGTCTGGCGAGAACCAAACAGCACAATTCAATTGAAGGAGCTCATTCATTCACGGAGAGTGAAACAAGATATTGGGAAAATTCTGCTGTAAAGTTGAAGCCCAAGCAAGCAGCACTCGACTCGTCAGCTTCCGTGAATATTGCAAAACGATTGGATTTCATAGTTTTCCTTTTCACTGGACATTATTAATAATTTTATATTTTAGTGTTTTTGTCGAATAGATAGTTATTCATTTTTTTCATTGTATAGACATTTATTTTGTAATATGCGGCCAAAATTGTAGTGCGGACGGGGCATCGCATTAAGTGCTGAATAGTGCAGAATAGAGTGCAAGCCTTATAGGCAACCAGAACAGAGCACTGTGAAAAAAGTTGCGGTTGCGGTTTCATGGTTTTGCTGTAGTCAGTGAGAAGCAGAAATCAACTCGATGTTTCTCATACAGCTACATCCTGAGCAGATGATATAGCACGCAACCATCAAACTCTATCGTCTCTGCAAGATAAAAAGTCTCTACACTCACTGGACAGTTCAGGATTTATTGTGATAGATTAACCGGGGGGGGGGCTGCGTGCGCTCACCTCCATCATCGCGTAAATCGCTGGACTTGACCGAGACCAAAGGAGCAAGTGTCAGAGAGCGGGAAAATACATATATTCTCCAAAAGAAGAACCCCGAACACTCGTCAAAACCCCTAGAGAAGTGGCCTTGACCCAAGCTGTTGTGATGCATATTCCCGTAGACCCTACCACCACCAGACGGTTCACACCGCCCTCCACGTCATTCCCCTGCAGCAAGATTGGAGACGGCAGCGGGACCATGGGCACCCCTGGACCACTGAGGACACGACCCGAGGCCAGGAATGTGGTGGACGTCCTGGCAGACCACGCTGGCGAGCTGGTCCGGACAGACAGCCCAAACTTCCTCTGCTCGGTGCTGCCCTCACACTGGAGGTGCAACAAGACACTCCCTGTGGCTTTCAAGGTAAGGTAAATTATGCATAATTATAAATGGACATTTATGAAGTAATGAACGACCTAATGATGTATTACTGTAGGTTACTGAAGAAAAAGTGTCAAATACAATTTTTTAAGCTCTCTTGAGTAGGTTTCATATAGCCAACAAGGCATTTACTGGCATTAGTAGGCCTATTTCAATTACTTTTACGCAGAGCCCTATTCTGTAATATAGGTCTAAATAATGGAATTAAATCAAGTTGTCCAAATTATAGTGGCCTGCCAAAGTGATAACTTGGCATAATTATTTTGTGTTTCATTTTTGCATTGGACTTACTTGAATATGAGATTTAGAAAAGTGTTTGGATTTGCAACTGCAATGACATACAATTAATCAACAATTAGCCAACAATATAGGTCCTAATACAAATAATGATAATTGAATAACAATAATTCTAATGATACCATATAGTATTATATCTGGTAAGCTAGTTATTTTTAAATTGCTATTTTGCAAGGTTTTGCAATGCAGATAAAAATCTGTAGGCCTATATTATGAAGCAATGCAATTATGCTACACTGAAAGTTATCAATTATATTTATACACCACGACGTGATAGAATTTGTGGCCTAAAAGTGTAATGTTTAGAAAAATAGACTAGCCTATATCTATTTTATTTGTATCATATCCAACAAAAAAAATGCTTGTTTAGATCGCATAGGCCTACTTATTTAATGAAGAGAATTTGCAAACATTCTTTTGGAAAGTGATTTGGATATAGGCCTATCAAATGTCAAAGTAATTTCCATAGCTTAAAAATATTCCTGTTTGAATTGCAAGCTTGCTTCAAGGAAGCATCTTACCATGTAGTTATAACCTAATAGCACAATAGGCCTATATATTTTAACCAAAATATTTGATAACAATATCTAAAAGGCATATTTTTTTTATGGATTGGAAATCAGGTCTAATATTGATGTATTTTATATCGGGTTTTTTGATTCCACCGGATGCGGTTTGTTGCAGTCTGTATTTGGTTTAGCATGGTGACCCCGGTTGACCACGTTGAGTTCTCACAGGTTGTCGCACTCGGTGATGTGCCCGACGGGACTCTGGTCACGGTGATGGCGGGTAACGACGAGAACTTCTCTGCGGAGCTGAGGAACGCGTCTGCGGTGATGAAGAACCAGGTTGCCCGCTTCAACGACCTGCGGTTCGTGGGCAGAAGCGGACGAGGTGAGCAGAGGGAGTCACGCAACTATATCCTTAAACCATGAATAGTATTAGGCCTACTAAATGAAATCAAGAGCTAACATCACATACAAAACACCTGCATGCGTCATGCGTCATAATTGCACTGACTTGCAAAACTACAGCCTGAGTAGACCTACTTTTGGTAATCTATTTTAAACAAAGAAAGTGATAAAATATTTTAATGGATAAAATAAAAGTGTTAGGGAATGTGAGAATTATAGTGGGGCAATTATAGTTGCGAGATCGCACCAGCATTACACAGGTATAATTATGGGGATTATCAGTGTTTATTGGGACGAAATAAAATATGATTATTACACATTTTAAGATGTGGTTTGATAATTCTTTATCGACAAAGAGCAAAGCCCAATTTCAAATTATAGCCTAATGCTCAGCCAAGCATTGCCACAATTCTTTCTATAGGACTAGTCCTAATTGATCATCACGCACGCCCCCCTCAAAAGATGATCAGGTTAGTAGCAGCAGCATATATTCTATGAACATTGCACCATTGTCCAAATAAACAAATCGCCTGGACCAGAATATTCAGTTCAAGGCTTGGCACTTTTAAAAGCTTGCCTGTTTACACTTCTAAAAACTAGCGCTCACATAGCTGACATTCCACCAGAACCTTCTCTTTTCCCTCTCCTTACTCCTGGCCCAGCGCTCACATATTTCCCTTAAATGTTACACTTTAAATAGTTGCAGACTGATGAATGGAAAACGCTACAGTCTCTGAATTAAACGTAGCTTTCATTTCTGTAGTCAATTACCCCACCCCAGGATTCCTTTCCCCCCACAGTCTCTTTAACAAGAGATGCCTTTTTTATGAAAGCGCCGCTTCATAGCCTGGGACGAAAAACGGACCATTGCACGATCTCCCTCTCTCCCCTTTCATGCAGATGGGAGAGCTCGAGGAAGCTCGTGCAAGAATCTGCCTTGTTGAACAATAAACTGTGGCTGTAAGCCTTTCGGACAATCTGGAATACATTCTCTCAATAATTCAAATCATGCCCACATTTCAGCCCATCAAAGTGGTGGTCCCTTTAATTCACAAACTTAAAAGGGAGCCATATCAGGAGGCAATTTTAATTAAGCAAGCTGACTGTGGTGGTTATGAACGAAGTGCTTATGTTCCACAAAAATCTGTTTATTTCCACAATTAATTAACCAAGCCAGTAAACCCTCACACATGCTCTGGTTTGATGTTCCTCCTGAAACTCTGTGTTACTGATGCCCTTCACTAACCAAGGCCCTCTCTATTCTGTGTACCCCAGGAAAGAGCTTCACACTGACCATCACAGTCTTCACTGGTCCCCCTCAGGTGGCCACCTACCACCGTGCCATTAAAGTGACCGTGGATGGGCCCAGGGAACCCAGACGTGAGTACTTACAGGGTACATGAAAATATTTGTCTTGTCTTGCTCTTAGGAGCTGTGTGTAGAGGGATTCACAGAGAGAAAGAGAGAGAGAGAGAGAGAGAGAGAGAGAGAGGCTATTCTTGGCATAGGAGATGAGAGAAGAGGGTGCCACCATTGCAAACTAAAATATATACATGAGTCATATGCAGATGATACAAGAAAATGTAGCCGTGTGTCGATGAGTATGTGTGTGTAATGTCAGTGTATGTGGGCGAATCAACAACATTTGACCAGCAATCGCAATCAATGGGAGACAATGCAGTGTGTTCGGTGTTGCAGCAGTGTGTGTGTGTGTGGTATTAGGGTGTGGGGATGGGGATGGGGATGGGCACTGTCAGAGGAAACTGTAAAGCGTATTAAGACATAACCCGAGACCGCTAAGAGGAGCTGTGTCTCCAAGCCGCAAATACCAAACGCTTGTGGCCCTACCCTGCTGCCTTTGGTCAGAGGGTCGTACCTGGTTGACCACATAAGTGGCTCGATGACTTAACACTCTAAAGAGATGGTGAGCTGCCTGCTGTGAGCTGTGCCAGTGAGGTCCAATAGGCTAAAGCTGTTAGCGCCATCGTTTGGGCAGTGATGCATATCAATGTGGTTTAATGTATGATCATGTGAAAGACTGTGGAGGATTGTGTTACAAGGATGAGTCAACCGCTACAGGCTGCTGGTGTGTGTATGCACATGCTTGGCTAGGAGCAGTCAGATCAGATAGGTATAGGGTTTAATGATAATTCCTGTTGAGATATCATGTCTATTATGGTTATACTGTGCAGGTTTATAGTGGCTGCCGTTGATGGGTGGATTGCTATGCTCTGTGCTCATGTCTGTTAAGGGTTTTATTTGGGATAGGGTGGATTTAGCCCAGTCAAAACAGACCAACTGGCCAATGCAGGGAGCCAGGGTGTTCTGGGTGCCACATGGAGGGGATATGGGGGTCCTAGTGAAGGGCGAGGGTGCGAAGGGCAAGGAGGCTGGGGGTGGTGCATTGCCCCACTGCCAGGCTGGAGGCTATTTGAGGAGGCGTTGGAAATGGAGGAGAACAGTGTGGAAAATGGGAGGAATAGATCATAATATCCACTGTGTGTGTGTGTGTGTGTGTGTGTGTCTGCGTGTGTGTGTGCGTGTCTGTGTATGTGAAATGTGATAGAGTTGCTGGCTATGTCTATGTGTGTAGTAAAGGATATGTACTGCATTTTGTTTGTGTCTGCATGCGCTGCTGAAGAAAAATAGGCACTCAAGTTGTCTGTATGTGTGTGTTCCTGAATGCATGCACAAGTCAGTGTGTTGGCTTCCTGTAGTTGGAAATATCCCTGCACATACCGTAAAGCTGTCTCCTCTCTGTCTCTGTCTACATGTCATGTCTGTACTGAAGGCGTCAGTGTGGCCTCGCTTATTTAATATACACTCCTGTGGCCAGGCCCCATCCTGCTATAAAGTGACATTATTTAATTTAGGGAAGGGGAATTTTGCTTTAAAAAGAGTGGACTCTTAAATCGAGAACGGCACCACCACATTTGTACTTGATAATAAGAATCCTTATATTTTTTTGTGTTAAAAAAACAAAACATTTAAAAACACACAACACAGTTTGCTATCCTATGATATCCTCAGCTAAAGTACACAGTACATGAGTTTAAGTACACCATCAAAGCAGATTACTATCCCTCTATCCCATTGTGAGATGAAAGCCCCCACCTTGGTTGGCCTGCAAACGTTCACCTGTCGGCTGGCTGGCTGGCTGGCAGAGCGGAGTGGGCTGGACTGCTCAGGGCTTTACTGTGTGTTTGTGTAGGGCCTGCATTTGCATGGCTGCCAGCAGAGAAGCTGGCAAAGGGGGAGGGAAGTGCTTTTTTAATGTTTACAGATCCAGTCGGGAAACCTGACGGACAGGACTGAAGCTCCCCTGCGGCAATAATCTGCCAAACACACACCACTCACCTCACTCAGCATGATTGATCAAAAACACATTCACACGTATACACACAGGCACGCACACACACACACACACACACACACACACACACACACACACACACACACACACACACACACACACACACACACACACACACTTTATTCCAACTGTTTTAAGTATTTTCCCCCCTCCCTTCCTCTTCCCCTCACATACACATCACCATGTTGCTTTTGTGTCACTTCGTCACAAACACTGCCCTTGTTGTACAATAGGCCTTCAAGCTAAATTGTACAACGCGAACCAGTCTCTTTAATTAGAGCTCACCACCCTGGGCTTTCTGAGAAGCAGCTTTGTGTACGTCAATGCTCTGCATCACAGAGAGAGAGAGAAGACTCTGCATCAGAGAGAGAGAGAGAAGACTGCATCAGAGAGAGAGAAGACTGCATCAGAGAGAGAGAGAAGACTCTGCATCAGAGAGAGAGAGGACTCTGCATCAGAGATAGAGAGAGAGAAGACTCTGCATCAGAGAGAGAGAAGACTTTGCATCAGAGAGAGAGAAGACTCTGCATCAGAGAGAGAGAAGACTCTCCATCAGAGACAGAGAAGACTTTGCATCAGAGAGAGAGAAGACTCTCCAGAGAGAGAGAAGACTTTGCATCAGAGAGAGAGAGAAGACTCTGCATCAGAGAGAGAGAGAGAAGACTGCATCAGAGAGAGAGAAGACTGCATCAGAGAGAGAGAAGACTCTGCATCAGAGAGAGAGAGAGAAGACTGCATCAGAGAGAGAGAAGACTGCATCAGAGAGAGAGAAGACGTTGCATCAGAGAGAGAGAGAAGAGAATACTTTGCATCAGAGAGAGAGAGGACTCTGCATCAGAGATAGAGAGAGAGAAGACTCTGCATCAGAGAGAGAGAAGACTTTGCATCAGAGAGAGAGAGAAGACTGCATCAGAGAGAGAGAGAAGACTCTGCATCAGAGAGAGAGAGAAGACTGCATCAGAGAGAGAGAAGACTGCATCAGAGAGAGAGAAGACTGCATCAGAGAGAGAGAGAGAAGACTGCATCAGAGAGAGAGAGAAGACTGCATCAGAGAGAGAGAAGACGTTGCATCAGAGAGAGAGAGAAGAGAATACTTTGCATCAGAGAGAGAGAATACTCTGCATCAGACAGAGAGAGAGAAGACTCTGCATCAGAGAGAGAGAGAAGACTGCATCAGAGAGAGAGAAGACTGCACCAGAGAGAGAGAGGACTGCATCAGAGAGAGAGAGAGAAGACTCTGCATCAGAGAGAGAGAGAGAGAGATAAGACTCTGCATCAGAGAGAGAGAGAGTAGTTCCTCTGTAGCTCAGTTGGTAGAGCATGGCGCTTGCAACGCCAGGGTTGTGGGTTTGTTTCCCACGGGGGGGCAGTATGAAAATGTATGCACTCACTAACTGTAAAGTCGCTCTGGATAAGAGCGTCTGCTAAATGACTAAAATGTAAATGTAAGATGTGTGATAGAAAGAGAGCAAAAAGAGGAGATGACTGTGTTGAGTGTTGAGACCCTCCCTGTCACTTCCCTTTTACACACCTCTCCGTCCCCCATCTCTCCCCTTTCCTCCCTGTTGCTGCCCCCCCACCCACCTCTCCCTCCCCCATCTCTGCCCTCTCCTCCCTGTCTCTCTCTGTGTGATGACATCACCCGTCACATATCCTCAGAGGGGGAGGGGCTATTAGTATGTATCTCACCCAGACTGAATCCGTTCCTGAGAAAGATGAACTCACCAGAGACGAGGCACACAGGGCTGGGCTGAGAACATACACGCCTGTGAAAAAACTGAGAAAATGAATTAAAATGCCTATTTGTTTGTAGCTCAACCCTAGGTGAGAGGCATCACAGACAGCCATGGTGGACTACACTGTGTGTACAGTTCATAAACTTGCATGCATGTAAACAGAGACATACTGTGTATGCACATGCATCCATTCAGTCATCAGTGTTGGGGAAGCTACTCTGAAAACATAGTTTACCAAGCTACCAATTACTTAACACTGGAAGAAGTTAAGCTAAACTAAAGCTACCTTTAAGAAAAATATAGTTTACTTAACTAGTTACTTAGAAAAGGTAGTTCACTACATCCAAACTTTGTGATAAATTATCATATCTAAATCTGAAATGTCATAGACAACAAATTGCAAGAACAGATCACTCTGGAGTCAGATGTTAATGAACAGAATGTGTAATTTGGCCTATTAAACACAAAATCTATGTTTCACGTGATAATTACATAGGGCTGATGCTGAAAGGAAAGGAAATTCTTGCCTACTTCACCCATCTTTTCTTTTCTTTTTGCAAAAAAAGTAGTGCGTAGTTCCAGTTGTTAGCTACACCGCTACATGGCAAAAAAGTTATTAACTACTGACAACACTACCAAGATTTACATTTAGTTCAACTATCACAAAGCTACTGCAAAATGTAGTGAAATTACTTGTTGAACTAAATGTAGTTCACTACTCCCCAACACTGTCAGTCATAGCAGGCCCTACTTCTGCATATCCTGTGTTTATGATACTATCACACGCTTTCCCACGCACAGTACCGTAGTACTTCTATACTCTTAAAAAAAGGGTTTCAAACTTTTTGGTTGCAGGTAGAACCCTTTTGGTTCTAGGTAGAACCCTTTTGGGTTCCATGTAAAACCCTTTCTACAGAGAGTTCTACATGAAACCCAAAAGGATTCTACCTGGAACCAAAAAGGGTTCTACCTAGAACCAAAAAGGGTTCTCCTATGGGGACAGCCGAATAACCCTTTTGGAACCCTTTTTTTCTAAGAGTGTACAAAATTCACTTGAGCATTGCTGTGTTTTGTTACCTATATTTATTCTGTTGGGGTTCAGAAGGTTAAGGGGGGTGTTGGGGATAGGAGGCGGGGAGTGAGGGTTTGATTCTATTTGGATTTGGCACGCAGACCGTACAAAGTATGCAAATAGACAAACAATGACATTTGCTATGTTATTTTTCTTCATGGTGCAGTCACTCTTCATAGTAAACAAAGAGAGGTGTGTGTTAATGTGTGTATGTGCACACAG